ACATTTTGTTTTGACGAAAACACGAAGTGACATTTATCAATCAGTCGTTAGATGTCGCAGTTTGAGATCAGTTTTGGCGATAAATTACAAAAAGGTCTCACGCGTGCGGAACAATACACCAGCCTTATCACCACGTACCCTACCACGTCATAGCACGTGATCATTAAATCCTAATTATGATGGTTTATTGGGTAAGAATGAACTTTGAACCCTATAATTAGACAGAATAAAGGCGTGTCGTGAAAACTAGTCTGTAATTAGTTCTAGATCCGTATTTAAGCTTGTTAATTAAGTTCGATTTGTTCTAACTTGTTAGTTGATTTCACGAAGTATTGATCTATCCATATTCAAATAAACCTACAAAACTATTACCACTACACATTACATGGCGCTATCTGTATTATTTAGCTCATTAGGATACCAAGCAGTAAAACTGGAAACTTTTAGTAAATGTAACTGATATTCCCACTATCAAAGAACAGATTCCTCATTCAACACTGCATGACACAAAACTCCACTCCACATTGTGATTGACTATGACACATTATCTAAGTCTTGTGGAGGAAGAATTCCGTTTTTAAGGAAGTACTTAAATAATGAAATTAATTTTTATAGATCTATATCCTTATTTGTAATTTTTTATTCGAGTGGAACACATAAACTTGTCAAGTGGTAAATAAGCTGGGAATCAATTTCTATCATAGAATTATAATGACGTAGGGAAAATTCACAGAATGGATTAATAAAACCAGATCGTTTACACCCAACTTATATGATTGTGTTCGAGTCAAAACCACCAAGAACTTTCACAAGCATTTCTCCGTAAAAGTTCCGCCCGGATCAAACTTCGTATTGCATATTATCAGTAAGATAACGTACCACCCACATAAAACCAGTGTATATGGTAGAAATTTAATGACTTGGTTCTCACGAAACTTGATGTTTTTATTCTAACAACCACTTGAATTTGTCGACTTTCTGGGAATTTACAACCAATATCTGGCGAGTCTGTCCAACATGTCTCAACACACCAATCCCGTAAGATTGTAATATTTTTACTGTCTTAAATTGTTATGGATGATACGGATATTCAGAAACCAAGCTTTCCGAAAGGTATCGTCAACTTTCAACCTTTTTTTCATCTACTGACAAATCAGTACTATAATTTTATTATGTCAACCGATAACATTCTTAATTTGTTGCCACCCGACTACATGTCTTACGATCGATGGCGTATCTAGGAAACATTAGTTGAGAGAGTCGGGTAGGGGCCAAAAAGTTTTCCAGGGGTACTACAGGCTATTCTATCACAATGAAAATTGTCCCTTTCGTAGAAACGCCACTGCTTACGATTGCAATATCATTATAGGAATCCAATCAGTTTAATTTCATTTCATTTTTATTCAATTAGCAGAATCGTGATCATGTGAAGTAGTCTCACACTTGATAACCAACTGGCCGATTCACAAAAACCAGATTTGTCTTTCTCTTGACTAGCTTACAGCCTTTGATCTGTGAAGCATATAAATATAATGAGAAGTTAGTGAAGCGGAATACAAGTGATAAGAGCAATAATGAAGTATTCTAAACTCAATTACATTCACAGGCATACAATCATAACAAACCAATCGACATATTCTGACAATAGCATATAAACCGGCCTGGGCATGCATAGAGATGCTATATTGTGTTTCTACTTCTCTGTGAAAATTTGGGGTGTGGGGGGGGGGGGGGGGTGTGCAGGGCGAACAACATAAACAACTACCTTTCTTCGATTTTCTACATAATTTTCTGCGAAATATTATTTCAGATACTCTGATGTCAAAAAAAAGATCCAAGGGGGTACCAAATGTATTATTTTTTTTTCAAAAAAGTAAATGCAACCAATTGATTCCAGGGACATTATATTTAGATCAAATTTAATTTTCGTTGTTTTCTTAATGCATTGCATTATTGAAAGTAACATTTGGTGAATAAATTTCGGCAATCACTCTTCAAATTGGAGTGATATACATCAATAAACTGGACTGTTAAACGGGACACCTGTTTACAGTAAGATAATAAGAGGTATCTGGTATATCGACAAACTATTTCCAATTAATCTATATTTTTTGAGGGTTAATCGGTTCTCAGTCAGCAACAACATATTATATTATTTTAATACCCTATGTTGTCATGTCGATATTTGTATAACGAACTTTGCAGTGAGACCGCTGTTCCCTACTAGACGATTTAGCATGGTTAAGGACTCGTAACTTTATTTTGAAGAAATAGTCTTTGATTCACAAGGATCAACGGAGTTCATTTTTTTTTTAAATTACATTTCTAAACATGTATCGTAAAATTGACTTAATACAGGAGAGCCAGCTATGCCCTGCTGTTTGCTTTCGATAAATACGGTATAACGGTGGTGAAATATCTTTCAAATTGCGAACATTTGTTGGAAATGAATGAAAAAGCGGAGTTTTATGGCCTGTGAGATGCTCGGACGATCCTTCCAATCTGTACTTACTGTAGCCTCTTTACTAATTTTGCTCGCATTCAAAATATGGCTAATATTCACAGGCAAGATTGTTAAATCAGAATATACATTTATGATTCCATCCATCTCGAACGTAATCTGAATGAAATCTCTGAGAGAAATTGTACATTAATTTCATCACGCCATGACCTATGGTCATTTTAAAGCATGCATTATATCAGACACAAATGTTTCGTCTTCCGGTTGACACTTGGTTTGTTGTTCTTGGACATCGTGGTGGATCCAGGAAGCATTTCTATGATTTTGGACTAGCAACTTATATTTTTTATAATGAGATTTTTTATATTGCGAGAGCCATGTTGACTATTGGATCAAATGAATATGATTGTCATTTTAAACATGAATATTTTATTTGTTTATAATGTTATTCTTTTTTTTTCAAATTGTTGCCACTGGATTATTGACATTTATTTTTCTGTTCTATACCTTTGGTTGTGTGGCCGATAACTCTTGTGTGGCTTCTAATTTATTTCCACGATCTCCTATCTTCTAAACGATATATTTCAGAGTAAAGGTTATTTGATAAAACATACTATATTAACATTTTATCTCACAATATTCTGACAGAGAGCATGTTTCAATGTAGATAAATATTTGAAAGAAAACGAGCGGAAATTGAGAATGTTACAAAAATAAATAAAAAGAGGAAGTGAAACTGAGACTAATATATTTCACGAATGATGTGTCAATGATATAAAAATGTCAACTGCATGTGTAACATTCTGAATTGTGTCAGTATACAAATAGTTAGATGTTTTGGTATCTTATAATTAACTAACCGGTTCAACACGATGAATTACATATATTTAGCATCGAAATATCATGTTAGTATGAAGAGGTTTTTGAAGAAATGTAAGGCCAAAATTTGCTATATGATGTGATTTACACAGCTTAATTCGTTTAATATTGACACTAATAGGTCAAAACTAAATATATTTATTATTTAAAGAAGAATTTTGTTAGATCGTAGATGGGTCAAGTTGAGTCACCGAGAGAAACATTTAAGTTTTTATACATGAATATGTGGTCGTATATTGTCGTCGCCCCTGTCCGTCGGTCCGTCGGTCCGTCCGTCAACATTTCTTGTGAGTACTATAGAGACTACAGTTTTTATCTGATTTTGATAAAACTTGGTGTGATGCTTTAGATTGATAGGATCTCGGTTAAGTTCGAATTTGACATATTTTCGATGAACGGTTTTTGAGATATTGCCCTTGACTTAGAACGCCTTGAAATTTGTTAAAAATTGTTCGTGAGCAGGATTGAAGCTACAGTTTTCATCCGATTCTGATGAAACTTGGTGTAATCATTGGAATTGATAAGATCTCGGACAAGTTCTAACTTGACGCATTTTCGATGAACGGTTTTTCAGTTATTGCCCTTGACTTTGTTAAAACGCGTCGAAATTTGTTAAAAATAGTTCGTAAGCAGGATTGAAGCTACAGTTTTCAACTGATTCTGATGAAACTTGGTGTAATCATTGGAATTGATAAGATCTCGGACAAGTTCTAACTTGACGCATTTTCGATGAACGGTTTTTGAGTTATTGCCCTTGACTTTGTTAAAACGCGTCGAAATTTGTTAAAGATAGTTCGTGAGCAGGATTGAAGCTACAGTTTTCAACCGATTCTGATGAAATTTGGTGTAATCATTGGAATTGATAAGCTCTCGGACAAGTTCTAACTTGATGCATTTTTGATGAACGGTTTTCGAGTTATTGCCCTTGACTTTGTAAAAACGCGTCAAAATTTGTTCGTGAGCACAATAGAAGCTACAGTTTTCAACCGATTCTGATGAAACTTGGTGTGATCATTGAAATTGATAAGATCTCGGACAAGTTCTAACTTGACGCATTTTCGATGAAATGTTTTTGAATTAATGCCATTAACTTACGAAAAACGCGTCAAAATTTGTTTGTGAGCACAATAGAAGCTACAATTTTCAACCGATTCTGATGAAACTTGGTGTGATCATTGGAATTGATAAGATCTCGGACAAGTTCTAACAAGAGATATTTTTGATGAACATTTTTTGAGTTATTGCCCTTGACTTTGTAAACACGCGTCAAAGCTGTGTGATTTAATTGTTTGTTGTATTTGGGTTATTGATATTCATTTTAAACAATTTTGTGGAATTATTCAGCATAAATAATTTCTTCAATATGAGAAAATTCGTACTTAAGTCACTAAAGACTGTTTTATTATTTCTGACAGCTGCCAGTGGGCGTATGTTACCTTGCAACGCAAGCTATCTTTATGTATTTTCATTAGATTGCAATTGCATTTGGGAAATTTTTACCGATGGTTCATTCACACTGTTCGTACAAGTTTGACTGTATAGATATATATTGTCACACTGACATTAAGATACTGTATTGTTACCAGTTGCAACTCCTTTAAACATGACTTTATTGGGAATGGTAAAACATCAGTTATATCTATATATTCTATATTCCAGTATGAGCGTTAAGGCAGTCACCAATGGAGGGAGGATGAGGATAACAGAGGTCAATCCTCATTTAATATGTGCCCTGTGTGGAGGATACTTAATTGATGCCACTACTATTGTCGAATGTTTACACTCATGTAAGTATAAGTTGTATTAAAAGTAATCATTCCGATTACATTTAATAATAAAACAATTATTAAATTAGCAACCAGATTTTAATGCAGACTGCTGCATAGTAAGTTGACCCTACTTTGGTACATTTATTTTGCTTTCTCTGAAAAGGCGATGACCTACTCGTAACAGAGCTATCAAACAATTGTACCACAATGGATGACCACTGAAGGAAAGTTCTATTTGCCTTTTTTAATACTGAGTCTAAAATGAAAGTTATCAAAAATTGGTGGCCTTTGTTAAGATTACGTTAAGAAAAAACTAGCACAAGTCCATGGTTCATTTCGCTTTGTGTAGACTGATATGTCATTAGTCCGAAAACTTTTCTTTAATGTAAACTTTCTCTCAAATATTTGATCTAAAAAGCATGTTTGGTTTATATCAAATATTTTAATTTTCTTATCAACATTTTGCCAGAGGGCGAATAAAGGTCATTACTTCCTGAACGGGGGTCATCTCAAAATAACACCCCGAATTTACCGATAAGAGTAAGGTATGAGAGAAGAATATCACTCGAGTTTTGTATTGATTTTTACTCGGTGAACTAGTTTTCTTTTCTGAGATCAATCTGACCTTACTTGTAGTATATCAATGCCTTTCTAGGTATAGGCGTGCAGTAATATTACAGCTGACGTAGCAATGCATGAATGAAAATGAATGAATGAGTGAATGATAGTTCGTATGAATCTTTATCAACAGTTTGATAGAATAAATGAATCCTACTTCAGTGGAGTAGCGATGAGATGTTGAGCCCTTTTTGGAGTCATCGTTCGCCCATTAAATGCCAATGCTGCACGAGAAAGTTTTAAAGGCTTATTTAGTCCAATCGGGGCTCTCAACTTTGGTAAGCATATATTGGTCTTCTCCACATTTTACTCAGTGTGTAACAAAAATGAAAGGACTCATCTTAACAGAAAATCGATGCCTCAAGATGATGAGAAGCAATGAACGACTTATTAACGACATGTCGTAAATTTGTATAATTGAAAAAGGAGGCTACAATAATGGATTCCTTTGTCAGTCAAAAGTGTGAAAATATTTGCTTTCCATAAAATATTGATGAACTTGGTTGGTTGATAATAAAACAAACCACAGGGACTTCTCTCTGATATTTCCTGTTATAATTGAAAATTTTCGAACATTTATTGATAGGCTGTTAGCTGGAAATTCTTTCTGATCGTAAACAAATGTTTGATTTTGTTTAAGGGGACATATGCGCCATTTTGGGGGGTGGGGTGGGGGTGTTGACTTGAATATATGTAAATAGAAGTACTAGAAATTCCTTAAAAATACTTCAAACTAGGAATTGTACTCGCTCTTCCTTACATGGTTTTTCTATATATCACAGAGTCTCTTAAATTTACGAGTCATCATTTTAACACTCAATTTTCGACGGTGAGCTTTGAACCCTACAACTGATTGGCTTTGCTAAAAAAAAAAACGTTAAGACTAAAGTATGATTGGTGAAAAAAATGATCTACCTGTCCCTTTAACAAATCGAAATAAATGGGAGCATTGGTATATAGATTTAATAACCCAGTATAAAACTAATTTAGGCAAAAAAAAATCGTTATTCGTACCTCAGTGGTTTAAGGCATTAATTATTGAGTCTTAGCTTTTACAAATTTAATACTATAGGCCACATAGAATAAGTGTGTTTGTTCCACTAGTGACAGATTTGTCAACCAGTGACAACTATTGCGAAAGTAAAGCTTGGTTGTCACTATCAACTTTTCCCCAACATATTTTAACATTTTTACCACCCTTTCTCCAAAATGCTAGGTATAAACTTGAGCAACGTTGAAACAACATTTCATCAACATGTTCGACAACTGGGCGGGAAATTAATAATTTTGGCGGCAAATTGGGTGAAGATTTCCCCTCGGTCGTTATTCATTTTAGGAGCAGTTTTCCAGAAACCTTTCCAAGCACTAATGAGAGATCAGTCCCTCGCAATGACTGCCGAACCTCAATCTTTCGAAAAGAGTAGGCAAATTTATGCCATTGTAATGGCGAAAGCCTTTCTACTGCTCTCTGCATGGCGATATCTGTTTTCATTAGCCCTTCCTGTCTAAAAATAGTATCGAAGGAATTCTTGATGGAAGTTCACTTCACGTCATATTCAACTGAAAGACAATAATACATTTTTATTGGATATTATCCTTGTTGAAATATAATTTTGATATTCACATTATACAATATATTATTATTATATTACTATTATTAATTTTTGATCAATAACGCCCAAGGATACCAGCTGTAAGGATAGGTTTATAATAGCCTTTTTATTTTCTACATTCAAACAGACTAATTAGCCATAAAATTTGACAGGATTAATTCAAAACAAACTCATTGTTTCCGATTGTCCTCCAATTTATACAGGGCGGTACAGTTTAATAACGCATACTTGATTTGCAGCGTCATCAATATTTGTCTGCATTCCTTAATGATATGTAGAGTTAAATTTAACAAAATATTCTATAATACTTCTAAGCCTAATAAACGTGTCTGTACTGGTCGTAGTTAAAGGTATAGAGATTAACAGGCATTCATAAAGGGATATTACTCTGGTTTTGAATATGTGCTTACTTCCCTTTAATCTTAAGGCCTACTTATTTCTACAGCTGCGGAGACAACAATACCCGACCTTAATCAATGCCATGATAACGTAATTTATTTCAGATCGAAATAATTTTATTGTATTTTAGTTTTCTGATCCATCCGTACAAAACTAATTAGATAGACAAAATCAACGTCGTGTTTTCAGAAGCTTAGCTAGGTGAATTGTGAAAGCTTGTATACTTGTGATACCATTCCATAACCATTGAAACATGGAATCAAATACTACTATTTTGTTAAGCAAAAAATAAAATCACAATCTTTGAATTAATAAAATTTCTTTTGAAAAAAAAAATATTATTACAAAGTATTACTTTCGCAGATTAGAAATGCTGTTTTATATAAGGATTGATAAACTTTTATACCTTTACAAGATTCTGCTTGTTGATAAAGATAGCCAACCTCATTTACTAACAGTTTAATCCAACTGAATTTACAGAATTAATGATAGCCTTTTCCTTCTTTAAAATCCTAATATAACGAAAAATATTTGAATATATAAAACATTATTATTCTTAAAAACGTCGTCATGGTATATCACTTCATAAATTAACATGTATGAAGAAAGAATTCATCAGCCCATTAATATATTGAATATGTACTGCTCACTACGTGTTTATTTTCATATAAATAGATAAAATTCAGAGATAATATTCAGTTTTTATGTGTATACATTTCTAACAGTTGAGTTAAGAGTTGGTGTGAATTACATATTTTACGTGTTTTTATATTTATAGTGGTTCGTTTCAATTCTTCGCTGATAAAATCTTTAAAAAAAATACTCGTGGTACATTGATCGTTACTGTAAACTTTTTCACGCCCGGACGTGAAATACGTGTTTTTATAATAATGTATGTTTTATTGTCAATTTTATGCCTATTTTGAATAAAACCATAATGTATAAGACAGATATTTTACATCACTGAATAGCTGGATGATTCAAACTCTACAAAAACTGGCTTAAACGACATTATTAGCATTAAATATATGTAAGCGAAAATGCAGTGGCCTCAAGAGTCCGGACTGCGTGATGAAATATTTACATTGCCAACTTGAAATGCATGATATATGTTCAGTCGGTATATAACATTGACTCTGCTTTCGTCCACTCTCACGTAGTGATGCCGTAGTTAACTTCATCCTTTCATAGTCAGATCTTGTTAAAAGAGAACGGATCTTACAGACCATTATCATCGACAGTATGAAACGTATGATATTACGTTCAAAATTATGAAAACATACGATACTTACACATTAGAACACACAGTAAAAATAAACTTATAACGACAGATACGTTTATAAACTATAACGTGTAAAAATAAGTTTATGATTATAACAAAACTTAAAAGTAAGGTCATAAACTATAACGACAATTAAAAGAACGTTCATAAACTATAGTGGCATCTAAAAGTAAAGTTATAAATAATATCGGTATAACAATACATTTGAAAATAAATATTGTGACTGTTACTTATGCTATTGTTTAGATTTGAATAATACATCAAGCAAGATATTTATTACCATGTACAGTATTAAAAATGATTCATTAATTGTCATTCAAGTCAAATTTGTTCTCGGTTAACGACAACTATGCAGACCCAGCAGAAATTTGTAATGAATTATTATGCTCCATAAACAATAAAAACGCACAAAATGAAATAATCGCTTTGCATTTCTGAATTATTTGTTTATCTTGTAAATCTCTCTAGAAGTGGGTAATTTTCTATCAAATTGAGTTATTCCAATGCTGAAATTCACAATCCCAACTTGTGACCTAGGCCAGTGCTTCTATAAGAGAGTTTTTTTTATAAAACCTTATACAAAGTACATCTTGCTATCTACACTTTTATTGTAATTGAATTTTATGAATAAGACTTTGTTCATCAATGAAATTACCTGGTGCCAAAACTACAGAATCCCTCTGTTATCAAAAACATCCATAAAACGAAGTAATTTCAATAATTACTTAGTTTAATGGATATTTCGTCTCATATAGATATTTAGTCATGGCACCTGGCAAGTCCAACTGATGAATATCTGCACTTATTATATGTCCATTCTAAGAGGTAGTATTCCTTTTAAGTTAACTCATCCAAATAACAATGTGGTATAATGTGGCTGGACTGAATGTCTGTTCTTTCGGGACTGGCTTTTCCATTTCCCCGTCCTACACTTTTTTCATGCAGTCATACATTTTCCATGATAAATCAAATATTTGTTGTTAAGAACTACAGATTATGTTAAGGTTATGATCGAGAAATGTTATGACATGTAGTTAAGAATACAGTCATAAAAGTGGTTGTGAAAGTCTAATTTCATGGTTAATGTCTTCTATTTTAATGTAAATAGGTTATATCAGTTAAGCTGCACTATCTTAAATATGATAGCTAGAAAGAATTATGACTGAAGACAAATGAATGTATCAATTTGATTTATATACCTTTGTACACATAAAAATAAACCAGAAGTTTTTGAAAAATGAAAAACTATATTTCCCAGTAGTTTACAAATGCGAAAGCTTTTATAATAGGTTGAATGAAAAAAATCAATAATCGTGATCCATAAAGTGAAAGTTTTTGAAAAAGAAATCTGCAAATCTGGATATTTTCCATTTACTTACATGTACATAAATGGCATACAACATTTTGGAGACATGCCCATGTATTCAGTATTCGCAAATCATATTAGTCTTATGAAATATTTTTTTCTTCTTTCAGTTTGTAAAACATGTATAATGCGTTACTTAGAAACCAGTAAATACTGCCCAATCTGTGAAGTTTTAATTCATAAAACACGACCATGGCAAAACATCAGGTAAAGGTTTTATCTTTTGGTTAATAAACATAAACAGTGTCAGTGGCGGGGTCAGGTTAACGTTCGAGGGGGGTGAGGCGAAATATCAGAGATTGCCCGAATTTCTAACCTAGTTAGACGTTTTTGACCCCTCTGACCCCTGTCCCCTCTGCCCCCAGTCCTCCCCCCAAGCCCCTTTAGTTCCGCCACTGAACAGTGTATATCTTCGTTCCACTAGGAATATTTGGTAACAAATTTCTACAACAGATAACAAATACTTTAAAAACAGTTCGAAAAAAATGCTACCATTGTCGGCTGATATTATGTTTCCATAAGTTATTTATATCAAAGTAATTGCTACACTTAAAGATACACCCATAACATTGTTTTATATTATTTTAAATATTTACTGAATGTGATTGAGCGGGATCTTTTATGTAATTTATAACTGTGCAAGCTATTGTCATTATTCACGTGACTTTATTTATGTGAGGCAATACATTTACATTATATTCAATTCTGAACAATTTATGTCAATGTAAATTACTTTAATTTGAGTCGTATTGTTTTATAGACTAGACGAAACCTTACAGAATATAGTGTACAAGGTAGTCCCAGGCTTGTTTCAAAGTAAGTTTATATTATTATGTAAATGCGCATTTCCATATCTCAGGTTTTCTTCTGTTTGAATTTCAACTGATAGGTTTTTGGCAGATATCTCCTATTTTTGAGTCATTTTTCAAAGTTTGTTATTATTATTCTATGCTGGAATACAATCATTTTTCTCTCTTGAACTGAAAATAGATTAGATCGAATGGAATTGGAACGAATCACGCTTACTTAAAGCTATACTTATACAACCAGAAAAATAAATGAGTGCGAATGCTTTAAATACTCAATACTTGATATCAAATCAGCTTTAGATAAAACTTGATTTATTTCCAGGAGAAATGAAGAGAAGAAGAGAATATTACGACAATCAACCTGTCCCGTGTAAGTAAAATAAATCAAATTCCACCTACTTTGCATTGAATTCAAATCAAGGCTACACATTTCGCATTGAATTACAATTCAATTATCCACACCTCTGAAGGACTTGTCGGTAGGGTATATTTTGCATGTATATATAGTGAGTTTGTGCTAAAATTCAGAATTATAACTAACTCTCCTAATGGCTAAGGATACATTTATTTTCAAGTATATTATGAAGTGATTGTTTGGTTTCTAGGAGTAATCCTGGTTTTATGAATTTCATTTGCATATAATTTTACTGAATTTTTAAATTTTTACCGTGCCATTTACTTTTGACATTTTCTTTTGACGCTGGGAAGGGCCTAATAAGGGATATTGATATTTTGAAATATTCCTGTTTAATCGGATTCAGAACGATTCAATTTTTCAATTTCCAAAAAGCAAAATCATGTAAATTATGACATTCATATTTTCAGCTAAATCGAGTGGTAAAGCAAGGACGTCAAATAGAATTATATTTGCTGCCGATGAAGACTTCAGCATTTCATTGGAATTTTGGCCTGAGTATGTTTCATTTTATTTTTTTTTTACACTGAGTACGTAGACTAGGTTGTTTTTATGAAGGTTGAATCCCTTTTTGTAGTTTTCTGCATTCAGGTCAGAACTAAGATCCATTTTACTCTTTCTTTCTGCACAAATTTAGGTTCAAAGTCTGTTCTTTGTACTATTGATACATCATCCCAAGATTTAATCAGATTATCCTCTTCAAAAGAAACACCAATTTGTTCTCATATCCACATATTATGTTTTTGTAGAGGACCTAATTCAATGGAAACTGATTGTCAGAACAAAATCTGTGATAAGGTATGTGCATTTTACATGTTTTTTTTTATGAAATATTGCAACTTTTTTTTTGCAAATTCAGAAACATTAGAAAATAAAACATATTATGTGTGATTTATGTTCTTTGTGCCTTTGAAGGAACGAATTGCTAAATTATTTAAATGATAATTTCCATATATTTTACCCAAAGGCGACAAAAAGGGTGTTGGTAAAAGAAAGAACCAACAATGTGATGAAACATGTTGCTTTTTTTTATCTTTATTTATTTAATAATTATTTTTGATACAAGACGAAATTTGATTAACATTAGTTTGTAATTATACCTCCTGAATAATAGAACATTGCATTTTTCTACTTACAGTTACACGATCGACGATATTTACTGTGCCCTGCTGCTGTGAACATGTCACATTTAAAACGATTTATTAGAAATAAATTTTCCTTATCAGATAGATATCAGGTATGATTTCAGCTTGTTGATTTCTTAAAGTGAGACTTATGGAATGTTGAAATGGTTTTTTTTAATTCTAATTATCCGGATGCATGTACATCCTGAGCAAATAGGAAAAGTTTCAACTTTACCATAAGTGGTAAAAGTTTTAAAAATAAAAAAAAGAAGATACAATCCTCTCCAATTTTCAAAAAACAGAGTATTGTTTTTCTGTCACAAAATTTATTTTTTAATTTTAATTTTCAAAATATTTGAATTTGTTTTGATTGTCATTGATATAATATTTATAATATTATGACTTTTTGATATGACACGTGATGTTAGTATCATCGATGAATCAAAGTTGGCACGCATTGGTTTATTTCTAATTTTTTTGAGTAGTTTCAATATTTTTCGATCTTCTCATGTGCATTCCCACCTTATCATTTATTTATTTTGGGGAACACAAAACTGTGTAGTGAGGTTACCAATGATTCTTATTTGATATATATTTTTTTTAGTATTTATGGCTCTCTTAAAGGCATACAATATTATACGTGAAACTCAGTGATGGTTTCCTTAATTTTTTCATTTATTTATTGATCTTATCCAATTTATAATTCAGATTGATATTTACCATACCAACCAGCCATTGAGTGATCACTTCACTCTGATAGATGTCGCTTATATCTACTCCTGGAGACGGGTAAGGATATCTACCTATGTTTTATTTTATTTTTCAATAGAAAGAGGAAAGACTAAGTTCAACTGAATTACTTTATTAACAGGTTATAAATATGAGCAAAGATTTAAAATGTATTCATAATATTTAAAATTTGATGGTTTTACAATAATTCAATGAATGGACAGGGTTGGTTAACAGCTCTTTGCTGTTGAATAAGCTAATGCAAATCAGCCATTGATTTTTTGAAATTCTCATTTCAGGAAGGGATACTTAGGCTTTTCTACGCCTTTTATTTGAATGAGTCAAAGAAAATGAAAGTAGATGATATAAGGAAAATAAAACCGGAAGTAGAAGACATTAAACATGTACTTGAACCTGTAAATGCTTGTAATGACGTTATTTTTGAGAATAAAATATCAATAATTGAGAGTGAAAAGAAACCTGTTGTAACACCTGGAAGAATCTTAACGAACAGTGAGGGCAATCGGCAATACCAACAACCATCAACATCACCACAAGATGTTGCTACTGACTTGTCAAAACCTTTCGTGAAAAATAGCGATATTCCTCCTAAGAGTACGTTGATCACAAATAACCATGATACCAACACCCATGATGATGACGTAGTTATATTTGATGATGATGACGAAGATGAACGTCAGATGCAGATCGTGATGGAAGAAGTCGAAATCGAGGATTCCGAATCAAACTTAGAAATAGTTATTGATGACGAACCGGAGACTAAAGCGTCAACTGTTCCCGCTACTCAACTGGACGTATCTACCCAATCTACATCTGACACGAAATCCGATGTTTTAAATGTACCATCTGTTAAACCATCCTTGACAATCAACAACAATGTGAATGAACCATCGATGTCAGATAAATCAAGTAATTTGCAGACAAAACCAAAACAAAAACCAAATCATTTTGAGGCAGTTCAGAAATACGTCAATAGCCAACTGCCCCAATCTCCGTCTAAAGATGCCCAAAGTCAAACAGTTGCTCCAACAATGGAGCCAGAATTTAAGGAACCATCACACCATATTACAAAACCTATGGTCAAGGATACCGGTTCTCAGGTTATCATGTCTCGACCCCCTCCTTCACCCGTAAAAGATATGACCTTCCGTTATCCATCAGCAAAACTGGATAAAAAAGAGGTTACCATGAAACACATTGTGGCATCTCCAAAGTCACCAACAAGGCTACTAATAACATCCAAAGATATTTTCCCAAGGTCATCTAATTCTTCCGTAAAGGAAATGTCATCTAATCACAGTTCAAAGAAAGACCGACATTCAAGTGAGAAAAGCAGTCTGGTCGCGACAAAATCGACCAAAAAGGATTCGCCACATCGGTTAATCCTTTCCATTCATAAGGACACATCCGGTAAAACAACGTCAAATAATAAAGATACTGCCAGACTCAATACGTCTCAATCGTACGTTGCATCTTACACCATGAAGTCTTCAACTAAAGAAACCCTCTCTCGACCACTGACGTCATCCAAGAAAGAACCAGCCATTCATCCCCCTTCTTCTCCAACTAAAGAGAAAACTACTTCTTTAAAGGTGTCATCCACACTCAACAAAACCTCAACGTCATCGAGTAAACTACCATCTTCGCCAGCCAAAGTTTCATCACAATCTCAAACAAACGTAACTTCGACGCAGATTAAAGTACCGCAGTCACCAACACAAATATCATCTTCGCCATTAAAAGTTCTGTCTTCGCCTAAAATTCCTACATCGCCAAGTAAAATGACTTCGTCTCAAAATAAAGTACCCATAAACCAAAACAAAATAGCATCATCGTCAACGAGGGTGCCATCGTCTCCCAATAAATCTTCACCATCTCCAAACCGCACTTCTCCTTCTCCAAGTAGAATGGCATCTGGAGCAACAACGCCGACTATTAACCGTGTGCCTACTCCTACATCTGTGTCAACAAGCCCTGGAAAGGATTTGACTACTAAAATATCCAGTAACACAGTTAAGGATACGGCTGCCCAGGTTGGGAAACCCAACCATAAAGACTCTAATTCCCATTCTTATAGCGCAAAATCTCTTCCTGGTGTTACAGCCCATATCAAACATGTTCCACAAGTCCCGCGATTAGTGAAAGCTCCAATAACACAATTAAAACCCCAGTCGTCAGAAGCGTATCGACATCTCCCCCATAATATGATCCCTAAATGGCAGCCTCATCTGAACAATGGATATTATAAACCACCACAGGAATCACCTTTAGAACTGAAGCGTGAAGCTGTACCTATTGACTACTCAAAGCCATCGTAAGTGCATTGCACTGGCGAAGTGGACAAGACCCATTGATCTAATATGATTGTGAAACATTCATAACTAATTAGTGCACTAAATTGTGATGTGAAAACTTTACCTTTGAAACTGTTACGTGTAAATGATACATCCATTGCTGGCTTGTGAATAGATTCATATGAATTGAATTATTCGTGAGAATTTTACTTGGAATTGTAAATGAGCAAGAGAAAAACGATAAGATACATTCTAGTATGATTGTGATACACGATTGGTTTAGTAGTGACGGTTAAATAAGTTTTGATTGATGGTAACAATGTTCTAAGTATTTTGTTCAGTGTTCATTTGACCCGTAGTTGTGTTCACCATATGTGTTTGAAATGATTGGTATGTAAGTATAAGTGTGTAATTGACTGCGATTGCACATTTGCAGTATTTTTTTTTATGGGCATCTTTTCCGGATATGAAATGTTTGATTTGTCTGCATAGTATTTTGGCTCAGAATATTTATCTTCAAATATCATTTCCTAATTTGAGAATAAAAACAAAGGATATTATATTTTTGAAAAGTGCAGATCATGATCAGTTTATCCCATTTATGAAAACCCCTTGAGGGACAAAGAAAAAAGGGTTGGGTGGTATTCTGAGATGTTCATTTGGTAAAAGATTTGTATTGAGAAAAATTACAATGAATATATTAGAAATTGTATTATAAACGTTTAATTGTACATTATTATAATTATGTAATATTTTATTCTGTATAATGTTATTTATAGATGTTAAAGCCAGACTGAGATATGGGCATGTGGCCAAACGTAAACTTGTCTAAATTTTTGTCAAAACTAAAAAGTTTTCTCTGTAGATATTCCCTTCAAACTTTTAATTCTTATGGTGGGTTTTTAAGAAAGACGTAATCGACTGAATGCATTTCCTTGGTGCTTTTAGGAAAATGTATTAAGATTAAAAATACAAATCCTCTTTCAAAAACCTTATCAAATGCATGAAATAGAATCAGATCTTAAAGCTCTAAAAGACAGTATATGAAAACATTGAACAAATTCGTTTGTGTCCCTTGAAATTTTAGCTGTCTATATATTTGAACTGATGAGGATAGTTTATGAATATTACAGTTCCAATGTTCTGGATAATAAATTTGCGCAGATCTGGTATTTTCGTTTCGTCTGAATTAATAGACTTGGCTTCATGAATGCGAAGAATGTTTTAGCCATGAATATTGAATCCTATTATACGTTTCAAAAAATATACTTATTTATATTTGCGTTTTAATTATTATTTCTGTTACATGCTCGAAGATGTCAGATATATTTTGTTCAGTTATAAAATTAATATTTTTCATTATTTCCAATTATAAAGGAAAATATTCATGAGATAGATTTAAATGAATGAGCAGTCCAATGTTTTAAAACTTATTTATGTTTTCGAGAGAGAATAACATAACTATGGACTCTTTTTAAAAGGTTTGGATTTTGTACTCGATGTGATTGCTATTTATTATGTTGCTTAATTTCAGAAACTTTTCGGATTTTCTGTTAATTTATTTCTTTTCAATTATGTATTGGCATTTAATTTTTCATGAGGGCAATATTTGTAGAAGGGCACTTTATGCTGAATTATATAGTTTTTTTTCCTATTTTGTGGTCTTACCCGTGTAGATACTAAATCCATTGCGTCTATCGAGTGTTTTTTTTTTTTTTTTTGTTATTTTAGGGGTTTGGCAATTAAATTATGAAAATAAAAAGTATTTTAAAATTTTTGGAAAAAATTCTTTGTGAGATATTAATTTATCTTTAGTAATTGTTACGTCGTACACGTGGTTTGTTATTACTATTATTATTATTATTATTGGTTGTAGACGTGTTCAATTTGTGTGTATCACGTGATGACGTTGTGATGTAAGGAACTGCCAGGCAGTGAAACTCTGTACATAAACCTTATTTAAATTTATTGTTATATATTATGTAAACGTTGGTACCAAGTATCGTTTATAAACAAAAATTCGCCCAGAAAAAATAGTAATAATATATCTTATTAGTCAATCGAAAATAAAACACAAAATTATTGTGGAATAAAGAGTTTGTATTTATTTCTTCACAAATTGTAGACTTACCTTGCGCAAAATATAAAGAATAAAAACCTCTTTGAGGCACTATGCCCGAGAGTAAATGACTATTTTGTTCAAAAGGAACATTTTACAGACCAATATTCTGTATCAGTTTGAAAATTGCACACCGATTTTTCAGTTAATAAAACGATGACAATCCACTTTTGTTCAATCCACACATGTTTAATGTATATACATAGATAACAAGCCTAGCAAAACAAAAAGAAACTCATTTCGAGCCAAAAACAAAACTTAACGTCCATTACGTTTTAAATACAAAGATTAGAATTCACTATTGTCCAAAAAACAAAAACAAATTACAAGCATGCTTTTAGTCCACGGTTACAGATGACATGCAAAAAAGCTACATTTTAAACTCCAGTTGAGAAGGTGAATATACGCACTGCTATCTGCAATCAAATGTAATCGGGACAAATGTTATGTCATCTGGATTGCATTTGTATCATTGTATAAGTGTTAGTAAGAACAAATTTTCGAATCAAATTGTGAAAGCAACAGTCGGTTTATATTGAGTATTTTAGTTGATAAAAAAAATTAAATGAAATGAATGGAGTTTTACGTCCTACTTTTCTGCACCATGTGGGCTAATGAAGACGGGCAACGCCATGCAATGAGGGAAATTTTGCCAGGACAGCGGCATTATTTAGTTCATAAAGCTATGATTT